TTTAGAACTCAACAAAAATTGGATAGATGACAAGATGAGCTTGAAACTTTGCAACAAACTGGATCTGTTGAATAGTACACCAACTGATTCAATAAACTAATTCGCAAAGTAGATCCTGATGGAAATTACTCCTTATCATACAAAAAGAGAATATATCGATGTGAACTGAATTCAGCTATTCGAAAATGGACCACTTTCCATTGGTGCAATATGATATAAAGCCATCAGCAATTTGATAGGTTTAATATGATATAAGACCACTTATACACAAGATTTGAAGTATATAAAAAAAATATGAGAGGTGAGAAGTATTTGGAAGAAAGTTTTTGTTAAAAGAGATTTTTTATTTTTAATTATAACATGTCGAGTTAAGATTCAGACAGCATCTCTATTTATATATTTTTTTGAAAATACAATTTCAAAATATAGTGACTAATTAAAATAAATTAATTTGATAAAAGAATAAAACAAATGATAAAAAGTAATCGAAAATGATGAAAAGTAATTAAAAATGATAAAAAGTAATCGGAAAATGATGAAATGTAATTAAAAATGATGAAAAGTAATTAAAAATGATGAAAAGTAATCAAAAATGATGAAAAGTAATTAGAAATTAATGAAATGTAATCAAAAAGTAATCAGAATATGATGAAAAGAAATTGAAAATGATGAGAAGTAATTAAAATGATGAAAAGTAATTATTTTAGAAGAATTTTTGTTATATAAATATTTTTGAATATTTTGCATGTTTCAATTATTTTTGAAATTAATGATTTTTATGTTACTACTATAACAATATAATTAATTATTAAAATTAATAAAATATAGTATTAAATTTAAAATAATTTTCAATTTTTAGTTAATAATAAACAAAATTAAATTATTTTCTTATAATAAAAACTGTATATTTATTTTTAGTTAATGTTTGTTGAATTAAATTTTTTTTATTAATTTTTAATTCAAATATAAAATCTTTTAGAAATTTTTATATAACCAAAATATTTATATATAATTCAAGCAAATAGTATTTATAAATCTTTTTATATTTTTATATTAAAATAAAAAACTTGAACTAAATTAAATATTTGAGTTTATAAATATAATATGCTTAATTTATTTAAAATTGCTTTTAATATAATTATTTGTATTATTTTTATAAACTAATAATCATATTAAAAAAATAAATTTAATAATTTCAAAAAACTTTGCAATACTTTTTAAATAATAAATATTATAAATAACAAATATTTAAAATTTCTAATAATATTTATTTCTGTTTATATATTAGCAATCAAAAATAATGCAACAATATCAAAATTTATTAATTAAATATAATATATTACAGATTTTTCTTTTTATATAAAAATTTTCAATTTTGCTAATAAATATTTTTTATTTTTACATTAAAATAAAAATAATATCAATATTTTAATATATATTTTTTTCAGATTTTTGGATTTAATCTGATAAAGTTATTTTAATTGTATATAAAGTTAATTATTAAACAAATAAAAAAATAATTAATTTTATATATAATTGAATAGCTTTATTAATAAATTTTGATATTATTATATTATTTTTAATTGTTACTATATATTATTTTTAATTATCATTATATATAAAAAAATTATTTTATTTTATTTATTAATGCAATATTTAAAATTATAAGTTATTTTCAAAATATCTAAAAATATAAAATATATATAAAATTATTTTAATTATATTCAATAAAGTTCTTATATATTATTAAATTATTAATTAAAAAAATTTATAATTTACTATTTTATTTATAATCAAAATATATATTTGAAAAATTTATTTTTAATATATTTATTATTTTTTTAAAATAACTTTATGCTTATTAATTATTATATATAATTTTAATAATATATTCACAATATAACTAGTATAAAAAAGTATTATTAAAATATTTAATAATTTAAAGAATATAGAAATATTAATTAAATAAATCTTGTTTGCTTATTGAATTTATTTATATATTTAGCTTATTAATTCTATAATAATACAAAAAATAAAAACTTTTTTTATTTGTAAAATATATTCTTGAAAAATTACAATTAAAAGTATATAATTTCCAATATTTTTATTTGATAATGAAATAATTCTCTATTTTATTTATCAAGTTAAAAATTATAATATTAATTAAAAGAATATATAATATAATTATAATTAGGATATAAAGAGTAATCTACAAGAACTTCAACAAGTTTTTCATTTGTTGAAGTTTGAAGATTATCACAAATATATAATGCAGATACTGGAGAATATTCATCATAAAATAATTGAATAAATCTTGTACATATATCTTGTACATGTCAAAAGCTAAGTTATTAAGCTAAATTAATTATATTAAATTAAAATTAATTTCTAGTGAATGACAAATATATTTGAACTAATAGTCTATTCATAATGATAAATGAATTTTTACTAAACAGTTTGTATTTTTATTATATGTTGTTTGCATTTGTTTTACTTCAGAATTTTCTTTTTTATTCCCTTGTTTATCTTTGATCCTTATTTCTCGAAAAAGAACCTATTTTTCTTTACATTCATATTCTTTTGTTTGACATAGTTTTTGAATGTTTTTCAAAAGCAGAACATCATGTTTGTATATTATCTATAGTTATAACATCTGTAATATAAATACGTCGATTTCAAGCTGATGAATTTCAAAATTTTCTGTAGTTCAATATGATGATGGTTGAATGTATAATAATAATTTGAAGGAAGGATATCTTGAAGAAAACTTGGTATAAATTCCAAGAACACCTAAAAGTCATGGTTTGAATTTCTCTAATTTCATGAGTTGCCTCACTAATGTAAGTGTTTGCACCAATACTATGTATTTGTATTTTTAAAAAGATCAACACGCACTTTATTCATTCCGTTCATACTCGCAATTTTCTCCAAAAAACCAGAACGAAAACGAAACAGAATTACGAACCAAGTCATTTGTTTGTTTGATTGGTTTGATTGGCTCACATAATAAATTAGGCTTATTGGTTATGGGCTAATCAGCCACAATGAACGGTGATCGATCCATGTAATCGACCCACATGATCGGAAAATCTGGCACAGATCAATGACCTATTAAAAGAAAAAAATTGGACAGATACAATTGCATTATTTAATTAGATTAGTCGAATTTATGGCAAAAATTAACTAAGTCGCATACTGGTCCTTCATCGTTTGTATGCTGCTGAGTGACACATGTGAAAGATTTTGTCGTTTCCTAGACCGAATACATGTATACCATATTTTGCAAATCAATAGCTTTTCTTTATATATATCGTGTTGAGGAAAAAAATAAATGAATTGCATCTTCCGAAATCATTCGAATGGTCTTTAAATTAAGGATCTACTCGATACATCGATCTTTGATTGCATATTTTATAATTGTTTATTATAACTTTGGAGATTTGCATTGTACGTAATGCGGAGCGGATCAATTTTATATTGAAAATTAAAGAGCAATAGACGTAAGTAGAGGTCCATATCTTGGAATAAGACCGGAAAGATCAAAAGCTAGACAATACTAAAATGTCGATATTTGTGTCTACGTATCTAAAATTCAATTTATAATTTTACAGATCACAAGATACATGTACATGTATATACGTACATATCCCGTTTCAGAAATGTCAGTACGTAGAATTTTAAACTACAATAACACTAACGCACAATGTAAATTGAATATCTAATATGCGGAATTTAAAATCAATTTCGGCCGTAACGGTAAGCTCCGGCGCCACAAGACACTGGTTGTGTCACACATCACTATGATCAAAATTTGTTAGTACGTATACATATACCGATACAGTTCAACCCAAAATTCTCATTTTGTAATTATCGTTATCGTTATACATGTACCATTTTAGCAAGAAAAATAATCAAAATTCAATGCATTTCGAACTTTTAAAAGGTGCTTATAAAGCTTTTATCGAAGCTATTGAAACAGGAATTTCGCACAAAAAGCTTAAAAGTGCTACTTTCGATTATATTTACGAACAAGGATACACCGAAAAAGATTTATTCCAAACACTGAATAATCTGTATCCAAATCTCAACCCCATTTATTTTGCATTATTCGGATTCTGTTACGAACAAGGAATCGGAACACAAAGAAATATAAACATTTCTTTCCAAATTTATCTCCAAGGTGCCATGAAAGAAGATGCCACATGTCAAAACTTTATTGGACGATTCTACCGAGATGGGAATGGATGCGATATCAATCAGAAAAAAGCTATTGAATGGTTTAAAAAATCCATGCTAGGTGGATCCACCATTGGAATGTATAATCTTGCGTATTGCTATAGCCACGCTATTGGCATTGAAAAAAACGATGAGCTTGCATTTCATTATTATTCGAAATCGAATGATAACAGTAACGATAGAAATGTCATGGCACAATATGCTTTGGGACATCGGTATCAAATTGGTGGTGGTGTCAAAAAAGACATTGAAAAGGCTTTTTTCTGGTACAAAAAATCTGCGGAAGCTGGATACGCAAAAAGTCAAAATAAGATTGGATTCTGTTATCAGCATGGAAAAGGGTGTATAAGAGATTACGATACAGCTATTTCTTGGTATTCTATAGCGGCGAATAATAGACATCCCGGTGCACAACTTGCTTTGTCATGGTTTTATCGAAATGGATTTAGGGTTAAACGAGATCGAGTTAGAGCCGTTCATTGGTGCAGATTGGCTGCTGACAAAGGACTTGCCCTGGCTCAAGATAAGTTCGCTTTGAGTGCTTCAAGAGGAAAAGGAATGAAACGAGATCTTCATGAGGCTATAAAGTATGCCAGAAAGAGTCATGACACTTATAATACAATGTATAAAATTTTCTATATCCATATATTTTTTTAACTAGAATTCTCTTTTCTTTTGACCCATTATAAATAAAACTCATAATAAAAAAAATTTTCTAGACACAATAAAACTCATTATGGTCACAACCACCCATTTTCAATTAAAATGCAGACCTAAATGTGCTACTATTTCTGCTACTGCATAGCTATGTCACGACTTCTGTCTATTAATTAGCATTGCATCCATCCTATTACAAAATAAAAAAATCAAAAATAATTTTACTCTTCGTCCCACATACAAAAGACAATTTACCAAATTTCACCGTATCTGCACGCCAAATTCAGTAAACCACATATAATCCATCAAAATCAACTCGATTATCGGGAGAACAAGCAGAATTGGTAAAGCTACCAAATTTCTGATAAACGGTTCCGTCAATGGTGCTTTGAACAGGAAATCGCAAGATTTGTTCTAATGCGGTTGTAAGCTTCTACCTTATGAGGTTGTATAAATCTGTGATTCTTCAATTTCTAGTGCCATTAATATTGAATAGGCTGATTTATTTTATTTTAACTATTTCAAGATTAGAAATATTCATATGCTGCCAATTCCATATCCGGTAAAGTATGTAATAGAACATTCAATTAAATCGTTATCGCTATCACGTACCGATACATTTACGAAATTATCGCATACTAACGCTAATGGCAAAATAAACGGTACTAATACATGTATAAGTAGAGTATCTCTGTTGGACGAAGCAATTTACTACTCTCATTGCTATATCTACATAGAACTTCAATTCATATGGTAAATAAATGCTGCAATTAATTTCGGCGTCTATGTAACATTTTCGGCAACTGCAATTTTAATTACATGTACGTATAAAAAAATTATTTGAATGTTTACATGCATGTGTTACTATGCGTGCACGCATGTACATGTATGTAGGCAGTTCGGTATGGGTTGCGGCGAACCAATTAGAAATTCAGTAACGGTAACGGTAATGCTCAACCATTTCGAAATAGAACAGTACGTACGTATTTATTCTAAAGTGTAAAGCTTTAGTTTCCATATATAGATGGTGGATATTTTTACTCTTCTTCATTTCATGCACCTTGTGGGCGTACGTCGTATCATTTTTCATGCATCAATCGTTTGACAAACACATGTGAACGACGACGACTTCCACTC